AACTGCTGCAAGCTCTCAAAAGTCTCCTAGGGCTAAATATTGGCTTTTATTAGAACACTGCTATTTTTATTTGATGATATGAGTGAGCATCTTGGAGGAGGATTGGCCTCTGAAGCCATCGCATAATGAGAACCATCTTTTGTTGTTATCAAAGAAAACAACAGCAGTTGCACCTTATGATTGCTGTTCATGCCCACCTTCTGCAGTGCTAACTTCCTCGATGAGCGCTGGTTGAGGCCCCTAACAGTATCTCTTCACCAGTTTTACTACCTTTTCTGGCAAAAAAAAATTTCTGGTGAGACCTCACCTGGAGTACTGCATCCAGCTCTGGAGCCCTCAGCACAAGAAGGACATGGAACTGTTGGAGTGGGTCCAGAGGAGGGCTACAAAAATGATCCGAGGGCTGGAGCACCTCTCTTATGAGGACAGGCTGAGAGAGTTGGGCTTGTTCAGCCTGGAGAAGAGAAGGCTGTGGGGAGACCTGATTGCGGCCTTTCAGTACTTAAAGGGGGCCTATAGGAAAGAGGGGGAAAATCTTTTTAGCAGGGCCAGCTGTGACAGGACAAGGGGTAATGGTTTTAAACTAAACCAGGGTAGGTTTAGACTAGATATAAGGAAGAAGTTCTTTACAATGAGGGTGGTGAAACACTGGAACGGGTTGCCCAGGGAGGTAATGGGGGCCCCCTCTAAAGGTCCCTTCCAACCTAAAACATTCTATGATTCTATGAAATTATCCTGCCCTTAATGAAAGGACCACCTCTCTCTGAGTTCATCGGTATAAGAGTAAAAGAGTTGACATGGTTGTAGGTTTGACAAATGTCCAGCTCTCCAGGGTGGTGGTCCTTGTTCACAGCCGTACATGACGTGTAGTTGAACGGTTATGTGTGTATGCTTTTCTAAGAGGCTACAGTTCAGCCCTGCTTGTTCTTCCTTGTTTTTTCCTGTTGTCCTGCTGTACTTTGGTCCTTAGCTACCCTTAATAAGGGATTCCCTTTGCTCAGCTTCTGAGGAAAGGAGAATCTTGTGGCGTGGTCTGTGCCTGGGGCATCTTCTCGAGTGAAACTTGTAAAGTTGGCATTAAAAGTTTCTTGATGAAACAGAGGTATCATGCCTGCTCATTGGAAGAACCATGCGTTGTGTCTTGTGTGTCACTTGCTTTTCTGTCTCCCAGCATGGCAGGCAGGTCATTCAGAAATGCACTTTTCCAGGAGCCCACGGAGTCGCTCCAGCAGGCAGCTGGGAGTGTAGGGGTTTGGCCCACTTTCTCCTGTCTCTGTAAATTGATGGGCAGGGTTAATATCAGATCGAGGAAAGGAATAGCAGGTGTGTCTCGGTCAGGCAATAACTTGTCTGAGGCTGCTTCTGGTTGGGTGCAGGGATGAGTGTTTGAAAATCGAATTAATCATGAGTTAGCCTGGTCCCCTCCTGTTCTCGCCCTTCCTACCCAGCGTAGCATCTGACTCACCAGCGTCGGCTACCTGACAGCTGACAGCTAAGTCAGGATCAGACTAGCAAGAGATCAAAGGAACAGTCTCGGTCCCAGCATCTGGGGGTGGGACAGATGTCCTCTCTTGTGGCTCTCCCGGTCTGCAGTCCCATGGTGTCAGCTGCTTCAAATTCTGCCCGGATCCCGCGAAACCAGAGCCGTAGACAGTGCTCTCCTGGCTCCTCTGCCTGTGAAAGCTTCCTCACTCTAATTGCTGTTTAGCAGGAGATTTGCCTCAGTTGTTTATTTGTTTGTTATAGCTTGGAAGAAAGTGCCTCTTGGAGTTGGACTGGCTCATGCTAGCTGCAGATGCTGGATGCCTGTGGGAAGGACAGCTTGAGAGTATAAACGGGGTGGCGAGATAAGCCATTTTAAAATTGGGGGATGTCCATAATTGTATTCTTCTGTTTCTGCCTCTTCTCCCAAAACAAAACCAAACTAAAGTATTTTGAGCTATTATTGTTCACATGGAAGATTAAACAGATGCTGTCAATGTGCAACAAGGTTACAACCTTGGCCTTCGAAATATGAATTGGTGCTGTAGACAGGAAAGTCTAAGACCTATCTAGTTTTGGTTTTATTACTTTTAATTATCTTTAGGGGGTTTTACGCTCCTCTGAGCTTTTATCTACTTCCACACAGGCTACTGATAGTTTGAACTACAATGCGAGAATGTTGAGGTTAGTCTCAAAAGAGTATGTAAGTTCTTAGATACTGCCCTGGTCTGCTGCAGCTTTAAAGGAACACAGGGGGCAGTTGGTTAGGGGTTTGAGGTCCAAGAACATTGGAAGAG